ATTTAGAACCAAAATTCCGAGGTTGAAGCCTTGCGAGTCCCCAATCACACTTCTATTGTTTAGCATACGATACTAATAATAGAACACTCGCAGAAGAAACTGCTTCACACATATACAGAAACCGACGATGACACAAAAGAGGAAAATAAAAATACGGAACTTATAAAGAGGGAATATAGAGAAGTTCTGTACATAATATTGATGAGGGTCAGCACACAAAAAAATGTTTAATTTTTTTTTAGCTAGGTTAGAACATTTGCATTATTCATTGACTCCAGTAGGTGGCGCTTTAGCCTATTCATGTTTCCAGGATCTCACTTTGCTATAAAGCCTGTTTTATAGACCCTTTTCCTTAGCCAGCCCATAGTGCTCTGGGACTCCTTTGTCATGTACTGTGTTTCCCCGAAAATAAGACACTGTCTTATATTTTTTTTAGCTCAAAAAAAACACACTAGGTCTTATTTTCGGGGTAGGTCTTATTTTTATTTTTTTTAATGTACAAGAATCCACACTTATTCATGTAGGAAAGTCTACATGTATTCATGTACAAAAATATGGTGATCAGGGCAATCAGGGGTGCCGTACCTTTCCATATTTGCTAACCAATCGCTGGCCAGAATGAGGGAAGCGCACTTTCACTATGGATTCCTCACAGGCGGAGCGCATTTGGTATGACTCCGCCTGTGACAGGAGGCGGCGCTATAGAGGAGGCATCTGCTTATGCGGCTCTGCTCCCTCCGGTGCCGCCTCGCTTCCTCTAGCGCTGGGTTTGTTGGCACCGCTGATTCTCTCCTGCGGCTCTTCAAGTTCCCACTTATGCCACCACCGGCCCTGGGAATGGTCACAACTAGGTCTTATTTTTGGGGTAGGTCTTATATTTTAGCAATTCCCAGAAATAGTACTAGTACTTATTTTTGGGGGAAACAGGGTACCAAATATTTTTGTTTATAAATTGTATACAGTTAGCATACTCCCAATCATCTCTGATCAAGTGAGACTGTGCTATGCCCCGGGTGCTGAATACTCATTCACACACCTGGAATCAGTTGTATATTGGCATTGTAGGACCTTCACCCATAGGCGTGTGCACATGGTGTGCCAGAGCACACCCTCATCACTCCGAGCGCAACACCGAAACCGCAAGAGCAGGCGCCGTGTTTTTAGTCACTGATTCAGTGGAGAGATCACAAAGATCAGCCGGCTCAGCGATACAGAGCGCAGCAGCACTTGCCACTTACATTCCTCACATAACAGCCGCAGCCGTTGTGGAAGCTGCAAGGGAGTGTGGCTGCTGCTACCCATCCAATCAGAAAGCCAGGCTTGCTTCATTACTGCACCCCTGCTGGAAGAGGTAAGGGACAATTGAAGAGATGGGAATCCAGGAAAAGAGAAGGGGCAGAGGTACCTTGATCCTATAGAGGGGGGCAGTGGTACCAGGTTCCTAGAGAGGGGGGCAGAGGTACCCGGGCCCTAGAGAGGGGGGCAGAGGTACCCGGGCCCTAGAGGGAGGTGGGGCAGAAGGACCCAGGTCGGAGGGCATTTGGGCAATAGGAAGGCCGCGTTGCTGACATTGACATGTGACCGGTCAGGATACAATGGATGTGAGTCACATGATCGGCTCTTTAGATTCTTACTGTACAGAGAAATATTTCACAGAGTCACTTCCCCGCACAGAACAATGAATGAATCACACGCAGGCCAAGCAGTGCTCAGCTTCCTTTACAGACATTCACACGAGAACACATAGCAGAGATCACACCGTTCATTCCAGGATTCTCCATCCCTGTCCTATCATCTGCACAGCCAGGCAAGCCTCCCTCCTATCTCCCAGTTCAATCCTACAGCTCCCAGTGTCACCCCTCCACCGGACAAAGAACCAGCATCACCTCCGTCCAATTAGCAGAGCGGTGACCCTGGATGCAGCAAAGCTGAATCGTGATCATAAACCACAATGCTGTCCGTACAGAACTACAAATATTTAGATGTTACAATGTATCAATGTTTATGTGATCTTTTTGCTCTGGAGTTCCCCCTCAATGCCGTGCTATGAAATGGACCTGAATAGTAAGAGAGATCAGATTACACAGATTGATCATAGAGGAAGGACACACCCCATTCATCTCTATTGGCTGGGATAGATGGTTTCCTGTCCTAGAGACACAAAAGGAAGTAAGGGGAAATGTCAGAGTTGTCACCGGAACAGGTGTCCCCATTGGATGATTTTGCCTCACGTCCTGTTCTAGTGACAACGCAATTTTTTTGTTGCATTTACATCCACTTTATATGCAGACGATTGCAAATGATAAAAATTTTAATCTGAACTCCAACCTTCCCTGCAGTCTTAAATCTGACCTCCGACCTTCCCTTCAGTCTTGCACAGTTGTACCGGCTCCTCTCCTGGACTGAAATGGCTTCCTCTGATGTCACTGCACACTGGGAGCTCCTCACAATGTGCATTAGAAGCTGCAGCAAGTCAGATAGAACACGTCTCATTTCCTGGCTGGGGGATGTCCAGCATCATCTAGTGCTTTTCTTCCCAGCTCAACTGTCCCTGGCCCCGCCCCTTTCAATGCAGTTCTATCAATCATGGAGGTTCAGCATCACATGTGGGCGTTACCTAGGGTGGTCTGCATGCAAATACAGCCTGACGTCAGGTTTCTTCACTGACAGCGATGGAGGGAGATATTTTTTCTTAATGAATAATAGAATTGAATGGCGGGATATTTTATACGACATCCATAATCATTCCGAGGCCGGAGCTCTGCGAATACGTGTCACGTGATCCGGAACCTCTCTTGTTATACGTTCCGCACCGAAAAACTAAGAGCGCGCGGTCATAGCGGGCCGGGGATGAGGAAAGCGGCCTAAAGGAACGTGTTCTTGTTGCCGTAGTAACCAGTTTCGCCGTCAGTCTCCCTACAGCATGTTCCCAAACAATAGAAAAAAGGGGACTGGCTGCGATGGGAAGTGGGGGTGTCACTGGAGCAATGTTTATACACTTTTGTTTTTTGGCCACGGCACCCTTTAAAAGTGTGCACCCCGGTCTAAAAATGTACACAAACGATGCACAGCTCCCCAAAATCCATTACAGACTAATCCCAAAATAGGGCTAAATGTAGAAAATAACTTCCTGCCCGGTGACCGAAACTGCATGTCCTGTGCATCGGGAGATAGGAATTCCACACCCCTGCTGCCCCTCTACTCCCTGCTGCCCCTCTACTCCCTGCTGCCCCAAGGCCGGGCCTTGGTTGGCCTTGTGGGAAATCCAGCCCTGGTTGCCACCTGTCCAGTTCCCACTCGGACAGTCCGGTTTAGGAGTCTTGTGTCCGGGTGTCCAGCCAACGGGCACCCGGACACAAGACACTCAGTGCCGACACCGGCACTTTACATTTTCTGACAGATACGGCTGCCAAAGTCCTCGGAAAGCGCGATCTCGGGCGGCCGCATCTGCCTCAAACCTGGATCTTCCTCTGTGTCTGTTTACAGGCTGCCCGCCTGCGGACCCCTGGTGAGACACCGTAGCAGAGACAGCCCACCTGAGTGTCGCACAGCCCTCCTGAAAGCCCGCACAGCCCATCAGGCCACCTGGAGACATCAGGGCGCCAACCCAGAACAACACAGAGTAGGTAGCTTTATATTATTTTGTATTGCTGTATAATGCATTGCTGGGATTTGTCGTCCTCTATAAAAAGAATTGTCGCGCGTGGTGCTAGAGGGTTCTGGTTTCACTTGAAGAAAAGGTGGCAACCCTAACCCAATGCAAAAACTCAAAAAATGGGGTGTCCCCTTCACATCAGAATCCCTCCTTTTACATCAGGAGCCCCCCCCCCCCTTTATATCACAAGCCACCGTCATTCACATCAAAGTAGAACTAAAGCCAACACTTTTGTTTTGTGTAGAGTGAGGGAGGGTTTCATATGCCATCTGTATACCATTGGGGAGATTTCCCTTCACTTCCTGAGAGGAAATCCCCTGGGTGTCACCAGAACTGTCCCCTTCGAAGGTTTCCCATCTATTCCTGCTCTGGTGACAACGTAAAATTTGGGATTTTCTTTCACTTTCACCAGGACAGATAGAGAGGGTGAATCTCCCTAACGGGGACGCAGACAGCAAATAAAAACCTGACAGGTGTTCCACTCTATTAAAAAAATTGCACTTTCATGAACACGTCTTGTGGAATGCGGATACACCTCTTCCTGTGAAATATATAAAGAAACTGCACTTACCGAGGACCAGAAGGGAAAGCAAGATTTGTACGGTGTTCATTTCTCACAGCGACGTCTCGCACTTTGACCTGCGCCGTGTCAGGTGATAAGACGGCCGACGGGCCAGAATGCTGCTGCATCAGCACAAGTTGCAGTTTCCTCCGGTCACAGTGAAGACGCGCCATGGATCGGAGAACACATCATGCGTGTAACATTGACTCCAAAGGTTAAAGGGTAACTCCACTTTAAAAAATATAACAATGAAAAAAATCTTAAAGAAAGGAATACGACATTTATAATTGTCACACGGGCCACCTTGTTGTCTAATGTTATTCAAAATCACCGTTCCATTTACAACTAGCGCTGCTGTAATGCTCGAAATCTGTCCAAAAAACAATGTAATTATTCCCTACGGTCCTCACCTCCATCTAGAGCAGGGGTAACCAAATGCTGGTCCTCCAGCTGTGTGGTGAAACTACAAATCCCATGATGCATCTCTCTCCGGGAGTCATGTCTGTGGCTGTGAGAATGTTGCAATGCATCATGGGATTTGTAGTTTCACCACAGCTGGAGGGCCAGCGTTTGGCTACTCCTGATCTAGAGGCCATTATATGGTATTTTTCCCCCATTCACACGTACAAGAACATTCGTTTTTTGCCCCAATCTCAAAAAAGCTGTTTAATGGGCACAGAATGATTGTACCTGCATAACAAATGACGTTACGCCAATTTTGTATCAGTAGACCCCTTAGGTTTTGATTCAGGTTGAGGATAAGTAGTAGAGCAGCAGAGCATTATTGGCTTATAGTGCTGCTACCCCCTATCATTTCCTATTGTGCAGGGGGGATAACAAGAGGCTGATACAAAGCTTGAGGTGGTATTTAAAAATACACTTTGGCTGCATTGACACTGTTGCATAGCAGTAATTAAGTGCAACGCATGTCTGTGTGCGTTGTGCTGAAATGTCATTCATTAGGAACGGCACCCCAAAGCACATACACAGCACACTGCAACATACATACCACTAAGGGGTGCCGGCTCTTTTTGTTGCAACCAGGGCCGGATTTACTCTCTCTGCTGCCCCAAGGCCAGGTTCTGCAATGCGCCCCATCAACTGAGAATGTCAACTGGATGGCGGGGCGGCAGGGTTAGTTTTATTTTAGTGCCCAAAAGCAGGGCTAAATGTAGAAAGCAACTACCCGCCCGGCGCCCGGAACTGCATGTCCCGGGCATCGGGAGATAGGAATTCCACATCCCTGCTTCCCCTCTACACCCTGCTCCCCCGAGGTCGGGCCTTGGTTGGCCTTGCAGGAAATCCGGCCCTGGTTGCAACACAGCGGTAGTCACCGTGGTGCGGGCACACAGAATACACCATGCTAATGAGGTACATGTGTGGAGTGGTCACATGATGCATTGTTAGAATTAAAAATGAAATGGGGGTCATCTATGCCCACAGGTTTGGTCAGTCCCCCAGCTAATGGCTTATTATTCATTCTCCTTTCACAATCTTATTTCCGCCACAGAGTCATTGTGAGATGAGATAAGGGCAGATAGGCGGCTTTAAAGGGGTTTTCCATGTGCAGATGAAGAAATCTGGTAGAGCAAGCGTGTCTCTCTGCGACTTTCACAGAATCATCTCCATGTTTTGCCTTCTTCTGATTGTATCTGCATCTCTCCTCGGGCAATCACTTCTGCAGCTCCGGGGTATCACTCCGTTCTGTTCTACATGATAATGTGTTTATAGAAAAAGGAAGGGGGGGGGGGGGAGTTTTTCCCCCCCCCAACTGGATGTAAAACCAACAAATAAAGTCTCATATAAGCTCCAACACAATATAATTATAAAAGTCATATTCAACGTTTATCTGGAGCTTTCATTAAAAGAATTCCCTGGTGATCCTGCTATACAGGTGCTTCCTGCTATGGAGTGACAGCACTATGCCCTGTGTTGTCACCCAAAGACTGTAAGGGGGGAGTTGAAGGTGCTTCCTGTTTTGAGGTAACACTATGCCCCTGTCTCCCGATTATGCTCCTGTGTTGTCACACGAAAACTGTCACAGGGGGAGGTGGTGGTGCTTCCTATTATGGGGTGATAACACTATGCCTCCGCCCCCCAATTATGCTCCTGCTTTGACACCCAGAAGCTATCATGGGGGAGTGGAGGTGCTTCCTGTTATGGCGGTAACAACACATTGCCCCCATCTCCCAAATATGCTCCTTTGTTGTCACCTGAAAACTGTCACGGGAGGGTAGAGGTGCCTCCTGTTATGGGGTGATAACACTATGCCCGTCTCCCAATTATGCTCCTGTGTTGTCAACCGAAAACTGTCACAGGTGGTGGAGGTGAAGGTTACAGGGGCGCTGATTAGAGAGGCCTCATGTAGCTTTGCATAGAAAAGGGTGCAGAGGGTAAACTGGGGGGGGCGGGGCCAGTGGGGAGAGATGGAGGCTTGTGTCCTCAGAAGATCATTTGAAATGAATTCGTATTCCACAGACGCTCCTCCAATCACCGTGCAATCACCGCGGATATGCCAGTAATCAAGCGCTTTCTAAATTCGTCTTCTGATTTCACTGTACGAGCAGCTGTGATCATCAGACTACCCTCCATGGGGCTCCTGTACATACTCCAACTCCCTACGCTCCCTGTGAGAGTTCCGACAGACCTTCCCTTGTTAATACAGAACAACTCCGGTCTGAATAAACGTCAGATTTGGGAAAAAACAACAAAACTACAAAACCATCATCGGTCCTTCAGATGATTTTTGCAATGACGGTCCCAGACTGTCATCGGTCCCCAAAGAGTTAAAGGAGAACTATGAGGTGAGTGCTTTTCACTCACCTCATAGTTCTAGCCGACCTGTGACAATGAGACTGTCACAGGTCGGCTCAGTAGATCGGGAGGTGAGCGAACACATACCAGCATTCGCTCACCTCTCGATCCTGTCACGGCTCTCTGCCGTGATAGGGGAGGGGCTGGATTCCCTCCTCCCCGCTCCGATCCGCCAGCGCTGACTGGCGGAACGGACGGGGGAGGGGGCGGGTACAGCCGGCTCTGCCTCTAGATAGGCAGAGCCAGCTGTCACTCACGCAGCTGGGCGGATCCAGACATAATTGTCGGGATCCGTTTCAGCTGCGATGTCTCAGTTTCCCTCGAGCTGTAGCTTCCTATATACTGAGCTTTGGGTGACGGGAGGACGCTAATTTGTATCCTCCCGTTACTCTCAGGAGAACTATGGGGAAAAGCCCTAACCCCATAGTTCTCCTTTAAGACCCCATTCACACGTAGCGACATACCTTTTGCAGCGGATCCGCACGGCCGGGATAGCGCGACTTTCGGGGCGACGTTCCAGCGACGATCCAGCGACGGTAGCGCGACCTTCACCGTCGGGCTCCATAGAAAAAAGGCAAAATCGCGCAAAATCCGCCGAAAAAAGGGTCCGGTAGAAGCGACTTGCGACCGCGACGAGCGACGCGCGACATGGAGTTAAGACAGCTCCATTGAATAGCATTGGCCGGCGATATCGCGCGGCAAAAATGCGCGATATCGCGGCAGAAATCGCGCGATAATTCGCTACATGTGAACGGGGCCTAAAGCTGCAGGAATTGTAAACCTCATACATGATTTCTCTCATTAGGCCCTGATGAAGGAGGTGTCTTTTGGACCCCCCGAAACACTTTGGGTAACTCTATCCAATGTCCCCTGACCCTAACGGAATAAATATGTATTTTAATTGGTGTGACGCTTCAGTTCTACATCTACTGTGTTCACTGTCAAACCAAGGATACCGCGGAGAATATAGACATGTGCGTTTCGTTTCTTTCCAAATCAAAATTCGGACATTCAGACGCATCCAAATTTCCGAACCCCAATGCATCCGAATGTGTCCTAATCCGAAATTCCGTTTCCGAATTTGGGATCCCGTCCGAATTTCGTTCAAAAACTAAACTGAATCAGACATGTGACTTTTCTGGCCAATCAGATGTGGTTTTTGGTTTGATGCGTCCGAATGGATCTGAACACGAATTTTCGTTACGGCAACATGGGAGCCATATACAGTACATACATATAATACTAAAGCTGAGGCTCCCAGACCCGGATGGCATTGGGGATCTGAATTTCCGTATTGCATTCTGGAGCTCCCGAATGCCATTCGGGTCTGGGAGATTCAGCTTTAGTATTATATGTATATACTGTATATGGCTCCCAGACTCAAATGGTATGCGCGAGCTCCCAAACGCAATTCAGAAATTCGGATGCCATTCGGGTCTGGGAGATTCAGCTTTCGTATTAATATCTGTATATTGTTTTCTGTGGTATTCACAACGAATATTCGTAAACTCATCCTAAACTAACAAGATTCAGATTTCGTCCGAATCCAAAACCCGAACTGAATTGAATTTTGGATCTGAATCCCTAAATAACAAAATATCCGAACCCAACCAAATTTCTCCGCAGCTTACATGTCTGGAGATCCATTTCCTTGTCACGTAAAGGGTTATTAAACCCTCGCAGGTTTTTGCATATATCTACTCTCAGCCAGCAAGCAATAGATATATGCAAAAACATTTAAAAAGGGTTGGCACTTACCTGCGTCTCCGCCGCGCGCTCCCGTTTCGAACATCTGAAGAGTCTCGGGCGGCCGCAAAGGATCTTGGGGCGGGCACCTGCGCACTTCAGATGTTCGGCCGGGAGACGAGGAGAGACACGAGGTAAGTCTATGGAGCAGCGTGCACCCGCACAGACACCGTGGGACATCAGAGAAGAGGAGGACAGAGGAGTCAGCGCTGGATCGGAGACCAGCACCCAGCGCTGGAGGGACAGCTGAAAAGAGACATCATTTAACCTCTTGCCGTCCGCCCGTAGTAGAAAAACGGACGGACGGCACTGCAGCATCTGCGGGTTGCCGTCTCCAGACGGCAATTTTTTTCTGCTCGCGCGCGCCCCCACTGGGTGGGGAAGGGGGAAAAAAAATTTGACTTTAATGTCACTTTAACTACTGTTGGATAAAAAAACACCAAGAGAATAACCCCAGGGGTCCAGCACTTTCCTTCCACACTTCCAAATATCTGTATTTACCATGACAGGTTCATGACTTGCTCCCATTACA